ATATATATATAAATATATCATATACTATATATACAGGGGGGCCAAAAAAAAGTCATTTTGCCTCCATGACTTTCAAGGCGCTATAAGTTACACTTTATTAAATTTTTATCGGACATTTTTACTACCATATTAAAGAGCACATTAAATACTATAACGATACTCCGCCACAGCCTTCTGGAGGAGCGCCATCGAGAGATTCGGCCGCGCGAAAGTGAGTGGGTACCGGAGTTGAGCGAGATCGTTGATTTCTCCGCCACTGTAGACCACCCTGTTGAGCTCCGCCCGAACCGAGTAATTGAGGGGGTTTAGTTCAGGACCCCCGCTTAAATACTCCATCTTTTCCAGGTACTCAACGTTCTTCCATTCCAAGTAGGCGAAAGTTTTTCCAACGCCCTTCGATTAAATGTGTTGTCACCCAATCCTGTAGCAGTACAAAGTTTCCAAGAAGGTACGGGCGACGACATGAAGATGGGATATTCTCCTCGAGTTGCTCGATGTAGCCACCAGCGCACACCCTCAGTCTGGGGGCCAAACCGAAAAAATATCGGTCTTATCCAGTTCCAGGTTACGGACCGGTCCACACCATCAACTTCGCCGCCTTGCGTGAACGGGTGAGATGATGTCCTGTTACCGTTACGCACGTTGCCGGGGCCTGCTCGATGTTTGACGCTTCGGTCTTGTCCACGCCTCCAAGAGTACCTGGGTTTCTCTCCAGGTAGCCTATCTATGGGTGGTGTTTCCATCAAGCCACCACTACTAGCTGTTTGGAGGCCACGTGAATTCCAAAGGCGTTCTCCACTCAGGCCGCGACTGGAGATGACTTCATATTTTGGTGTACATGAAGGTGAATGGCGGCAGCCGGCTCCTGCTTATAGAGGAAGATCTTGGGTATCTTCCGCCCTGGTACTCATATCCACTTCCTCTGTCTGGGCTGCGAAAACTTCGCTCATATGTGACTCGGCCGGAATGACTTTTTTTTTTTGGCCCCCCTGTATATATATATATATATATATATATATATATATATATATATATATATATATATATATATATATATATATATATATATATATATATATATATATATATATATATATATATATATATATATATATATATATATAGTATAATATGTATATACTATATATAATATATATATATATATATATATATATATATATATATATCACCTGTATCACCTGTATCCGACTTGTCCTCGTGTGTTACGCCATCCACGCAAGTCGACTTTGATCCATTCATTCCGGTCTTGTGCGCATCTTTTCCACTGTTGGCCGAACATTTTCACCATTGGATCGGCCCATCTCGTTTTAGGCCTTCCCAGCGGTCGTTTGCGATCCAAGGGAATCCAATCAGTGAGCCGGGAAGTCCATCTGTTATCTCTCAGACGCGCCACATGGCCGGCCCATGCTCGTTTCCTTTTATACAATTCCTGGACAATATCAACAAAGCCACTTCGCCTTCGAAGTTCCGGTCGAGAATATGACTCACGCAATGATATTTTGCAAATCTGCGTTCATTGACCGTTGGCGTTGACCCGCGAATTTCTCTTCGTCTGCTTTTGGTGGTTGACCAGCACTCAGCGCCGTATAGTAATGCGGGTACGACTGTGGAGTGAAACAGTGACGCTTTTATTTCCATCGCAAGGCTTTCGTCTAGCAGTGTCGTTGAGATTTTGTTGAAGCTAGTCCATGCTGCTTTCCTGCGCCTGCTAAATTCTCCTCCAGCGCCCTCTGTAAAGCTGAGCTGGTACCCTAAGTAGACGTAATTCTGGACTTCTTCTATTTTTTCGCCTTCGACTGTAATCTCCGTCATAGGACTGAACTGGTTTCTCATCCATTTCGTTTTGGAGAGGTTCATCTCGAGTCCAATCTCCTTTGATTTATTCTGAAGTTGAACCAGCTTGTCCTGAAGCTCTCTTGCGTCTTGTGCAAAAATGACGCAATCGTCCGCAAAAAGCAAATGCGTGAGATTTTCGCCGTCGATTTCGATGCCGCCGCTCCAATTCAAACTTCCGAAGAGGGCCTCCAGTGTTATTGCAAAGAGCTTCGGCGAAATTGTGTCTCCTTGACGTACTCCCTTGCAGATCTTTATATGACAGGGGTCGTTGAAGAGCTTGATCTCTGTACTGCAGCCGTCGTTCATCTCTTCCAGGAGGTCGACGTAGTTTGTATTGATTCCAAATCTGTTCAACGCATTGAATACTGCGTTCGCTTCAACCGAATCGAAGGCTTTCTTGTAATCGACAAACGCCAAGCATAGGGGAATTTGGAATTCTCCACATTTTTCCGTAAGCTGACGTACAACATGTAATGGTCCATCGTGGAATAACCGCTCCGGAAGCCGGCCTGTTCTCTACTCGTAGCCATGTCTAAGTCCTTGACGATACGGTTCAAGATTATTCTCGTGAAGGCTTTGGATATTTGTGACAAAAGCGTGATGGGCCTGTAGTTGTTCAGACTCTCAGGATCTCCTTTTTTCATCAGCAGTATCGTCTTCGATTTCTTCCACGCCGCTGGAACTTTTCTTTCAATGAAATATCTGTTGAAACGTTCTGCCAGCGCTTTGAATAGGTTTATTCCGCCTGCTTTTAGGTGCTCAGGTCGAATGTTGTCACTTCCTGGACTTTTTCCAGACTTCATTCCCTTCACTGCATGCTCGACTTCTTCCCACATGACTTCTGGGACCGGTTCTCTGACAGCAGTTGAGTGGACTTTTGTGACAAACACCTTTGAGGAGTACAAATCGTTAAAAAACTTCGTGCAGATTTCATTCATCCGCTTTCGATTTGTCGTGCGAACACCTAGATTATCCTTGAGAGCGGAGGGAATTTGCTGCCTGAGACGGACATCCCTTTCCACTGTTTTCAGGCTTGCCCTCTTTTCTGCCGCTTCACGAAGCTTCTTTTGCCTATATCCTTCATAGTCTTCTTTTATCCTCTCCCTTATCGTTTTGCTGAGAGTCTTATATTCCTCGCTCTGGACCCTTCCTTCGGCCTTCATACGTGCTCTCTTCTGCATCATCTGGATTGCTTCCGCTGACACACGTTGTCTTCTGCCGCGTTCTGCTGCAGTGCTGGAAGCTTTGACAGCAAGAACTATTTTTTCTACTAGTTCGTCGTAGTCAGCGTCGATGCTTCTCTCAGTGTCCATCCGCAGGTCTGATAATGCTACTAATTCAGTGAATAAATCGGCATTGAAAGCGTAGCGTATGAGTGCTCTTTGTGAGTACAGAACTCGTTTCTCTCTTCTTCGATCTATAAGTATCGTCGAGCGCACTAGACGATGGTCGGAGCCAGTCGCGACCACACTTTCACCTATAACCGAAACGTCAGCAAACATTCTCGGCGTATCTGTCATTACGTAGTCGATTTGACTCAGAATCTTCGTATCTGGGCTTCTCCACGTCCACAGACGCTTTGGTTTCTTCTCGAAAAATGTGTTCATGATTGAGAAATGGTGTTGTTCCGCGAATTCGACCAGGCGTCTTCCTCTGTCGTTCCGTACGCCTGTGCCGTATTTGCCGACAAGGTTTTCCATATCCAATCTTGCGCCAACAATTGCATTGAAGTCTCCTTGGACAATGGTGTCACTGTCGATGATGATCAATTCACACGCCGCTCTCCTATTCTCTCCTCATAGCACAACGCTTCCGACCTTCTCATCTTCCTCGCTGCCGCTGTTAGGCGGTGCATACACCTGGACGATTTTGAGCGTTCGTTTCCCCATCCGCTGTATCATGATTTTCAAAACAGCAACACGTGGGGACAAAAAATCGCAGGAAATGATGTGCGGAACCATCTTCGGTTTTACGATGAAACCGACTCCACCAGTTCTTGACACGTTGTCGGCACCTTTTCCCAAAAGAACTTCTTCGCCACTCGTCCACTTTGCCGAGACTTCTTTCGCTCTGTCTCGCAGAACACCGACGATACTCAGCGTCTTTGATCTTTTCCCACACCGCTGCCTTACAAGTATACATCTAGAAGCGCGCACTCGTCGATAGAGTGCCTGACATTGTGGGTAGGCGATTGTGCATTTCACTCCACACCCCTTCCGCTCTATCCCTGCCCCTTCCTCTACACGAGCGTGTCAAAGCGCATTCGCTTCGTATGGAGTCGGAAACGCGATCCTCCATATTCCTCATTCTCAGCGGGTCCAAATCTTCTTCTTTTTCTCAAAGTTTTTGCCGATTATTTTTGCAGCAGTACATTCGGGTTGGCAGCCCTCTTGTCCTATAGCTGCTGTTTTTGCTCGATTGTTCGCGGCTGCTTATTCGATATATTCGCAGCTAACCGCCACACGGACGGCCGTTCCTCGATCCACAACCTGAGGACGCGCCAGATGGCTCCGAGCATAAGCACACTGGAATTACTTCATATATATATATATATATATATATATATATATATATATATATATATATATATATATATATATATATATATATATATATATATATATATATATATATATATATATATATATATATATAATATTATACTGTATTTATATATTACATTTGTTTCAAGACGTGTAAGCAGTAAGGTTCACTTTCACAATCGTACATGGGACGAGTATGCGAATGGCTTCGGAGATCTTGATGGCTAGTTTAATATCGTAGTTGTGTCCTTTTAGTTGTGTCAAAGCATAAATTGATGCAGTCGTTTTCGCTGCAGATGCTGGGGCGTGTCAGGGGCTGTGCTTGGCGCGCCGCCAGTCCTTTTTCCACCAATTGTTGAAGTGGACAAGCGACAACAATGGTGGAAACCTTCTAACGCCGCGCAAAACGCAGCCCCCTTACACGCCTCAACATCTGCAGCGAAAACGACTATACATACGGGAATTTTCAGAGTCTTACTGGCTTGGGCTTGAAAAAGTCCATCATTTGGCTCCTCGGACCGGTGACAGTTGGATTTTACGGATTGAATTAAACGGAGATTACTGCGCGGGTCATGGATGTATTGGCCAAAGTGACGGTTAATGGTGGCTGAATGGCCTTTAAAGGTTCGTAGTTCACTTCCATTTACAAAATAAGTCGCAATTTTCGCCATTCTTGTAGTGATTTCTGAGTTTCTCCTTATAGGCACTTATATTTTAGCTTGGTGACGCATCGCAACTTTATCTGCTCGAATTAGGCAGCGTAATTCGTGGAAATCTCACAGATGAAAATTCTGATTTTTTCCGGCGCAACAACGGGCACCCATTTACGACCGTGGATAGGGATAATGACGATGCTGGCTCGAACTGCGCTCAGACACGGAATCACGGATTTGTTTCTGCCTTCCTGTTTTTTTTAACTCGATCTTTTCAGCAGTAATAGTAGTAAACACGGGAAATGCTCACAGGGCAACTTCTATATTGTTTCAAATTTCCGCACTTTCTGGGATATAAGGCGCGCTTCTGCTTCACCTTTGTAAAGAAGCCGCTTTGAAGTGCTCTGGTTTTGGTCATGCTGCACGCTCTTTTATTACAAATGGTTTACCAATATTTGGTTTCATGTCCTCAAACTGACGGTTCTTGTGTGTATAACCTTACCGAGTCAAAACGAGCTTGAGGAAGAGGCGTTGGTGATATACGCATCATTCGCATCAGGACCTATTCCACTCAACTTAGCGGTACTGCGGCACGTCGACTCTCCCTCCGTCCGCTTTTCTCGAGACAATTACCTCTCTGCGCCTGTATCCTCTAGAGTTAGCTAGGATATAGTATTGTAGGAAGTTTATAGGGAGTATAGGAGTTTTGCGCAGTGCCAAATCCGTTCTCCACCAGTTGTTGAAGCGAGCAGGTGACAGAACTGTATCATATCCTTCGTATCAGTCGTTTTCTGCCAATTGTTCTTGCATACCTGCTTCAGCAACTGGCAGAGAACGGGTTTGGCGCCGTGGCACACTCACACTGCCGGACACGCCCCTTCATCCGCTGCGAACCAGAGTTTATGTGTTAATCTGTTTGTGTAGCATTGTCCTCCCACGACTTTCTCTGTGCATCTCTCGTTTAACCGCGTGATTGTCCAATGCTTAAAATCGGCCGGACCTCATTTAGGGACCGTTTCGATGGTTTCTTTTGAGTCTTCATGGCAACTCAAGCAGCGATATGTGAACATTAGTGCCTACTATATGCAGTCGCGTAACATTGATAAGGCGCGTCTAACTTGAGACATGATGGCATTCAAAGGCATGGGCACGAAGCCTGGGGCGGGGGGCTGTCGCCGAAGTTACTGGTGGAAGATTTGAGTGGGGTGTGGCCGAACGCTCTTTCGCATCCCTTGTAAGCCGCGCCGTTGGAAGTACGGCGTGCGCATGCCTTCAGAATGACTCATCGGACTGTTTCAGGGCGTGGCGAAGCAGCAGCCGGACGGATCGAGGAGTCGCCTAGCGTCAAGGATCGAGTGCAGCTGCCGGTCCTACCATGTGCCATCCCAGGGCGAAGCCCTGCCATACCCAGATCTATTGCTCATGTACGTGCTCTGTATCTACTCACCTGTTGCTTTGCCTTACCTGTACCTTGTATCTTTTTGTAGCTTATTTCGCTGATGTGCCTTTGTACGATTGCCTTAGCTTTGTAAGTCCTTTTCGTAAAGATAAACTTATCTAATCTCAAGGGTTTGAAGCAGAAGCACAACGCGAGCACCTTCCACTGGGCGCGCTCGCTCACTGGTAGCAGCGAGTGGTTCCCCCCTCGCTGTCGGTGAAGGGTAAAGCAGGTAGGTTCTCCAAGCTCGGCGCAGCGGGGTTAACGCGGGCTGGCCACTCGCGTTAGCAGACAGTCAGACGGTCGACGTGTGGAGAAGCTTCGCTCGCTAGGACGACTTCAGACAAAGACGATCGTAAGCGAATTCGAACACTCATTCCAGACAGGGTTTTCGTTGTGTTTTGATTCCTTTGTCCACAAAAGTTCACCACCCCAAAGTTTTTTTTGTGGTAAAAGTGCTCATGGAGACACTGCTCCATGACTCAACGATTACGGTAGTCTTTGTCTTCCCAAATTTTGCACTTAATGCACTTTACCCTGGACGGGGGTCTAAAACCGTCGAGCGCTCAAGAAAATTGGAATCAAGTCTGGAGGCGTTACTAAGAAATTGTAGAGGAAATTTTTCGTCTCAGGTTTTGTCAGGTTACGAAGTCGGAGATGGGTGCACCTTAAGGACTATGCCGTATGATGTCGCCGCCGCGGAAAGCGATTATTGAGAGACGGTAAACTTTTGTTTTGCGGCGAGATTTTGCCACCGGTGAGTTTCGTTTGGGACCACAATCGCCCGGGTAACATAAAAAATCAAAATAGCAATGCTCTCTTTTCAGTCTTTTT